AATCTATCCTAAATTATAAAGGAAGAAAAAAAAACAAAACTACCTCCAGCAGTTGCCCATTTTAACGTGGCTTAAAAAATAATCAAATATTCTGCCTCAGTCTAAGTGATTATTTTATTCCTCTCATAACCTCCAAATAATTGAGTTTGCCAGTTTTTCCACTTTTAAAACAATTTGGTACTATTATGGAGGAGATGCTGTCTCAGGTCCCTGAGAACAAAGACAGAATCTACATTCTGTCAAAGACCTGTGAAACTTAAACTGAATGTCTTAAATTCCTCCAAGGACTCATGAGGTATTTTGTGAATAGTTCTTGAGTATTTAGCTTTCTACCTTACTTGAACCCATTTTCCAGTAAAAAAGGAAACAGCACAAGCCTGAGCTACTTGATTATGGTCACCATCTCAAAGTTGGCTTCACATATGAAACACTGATGTCAATCTATCCTTCAATTAATTCTTAAAAGCAAAACAACAAAAAAGGCTAAATTTGGTGAAGCAAAGTACTACCTCTACTATCATTATCAGAACAGAAATATAACACAAAAATGAAATATTGGGCATGCAGTTTTATCTTGAAACATGCATTTATGAAAATGAAAATATTCACTTTATGAGGAGGAAAGGGAACAGGAAATGTTTAAAAAAGAACAAAGGTTCCTGCACACAAGTACATTAATAGCGCTCTTTCTACCTTAATATTTAAGCACTGGAGAATAATTTAATTTTTCTAACAAAGAAAGCAATAGCCTAGAAAATCTCCTGATATTGATACAACATTTTTTTGAAAAATGCCATTTCTCTTACCAGGAAAAAGGACCAAGATTTATTCTTAATTTGTGAATACAGGTCAAAATGAGAAAAAGAATGCCAATGAAAACTAAAATATGAAGAAAAGGCTTCAGATAAAACTTCAGCTGAATTTAGAGCATCTTTTGAAGAAAAAAAAAGACAACTACCAAGACAAATCTCTTTGAATGATGATTTGCCATAAACTCCTTCCTCCTACCTCCCTCCAAAAAATTCAGGTCAGACATTTAATGAACGTCCAAATGCACTCAGCTAAGTTCTGGAAGATGTAAAATCATTTAGCAGCAGCAAAAGAAAAAGAATGGCAATCAAAACATCTGGCAATTAAATTTTAAAAGCTTATTATAACGACCAATAATTAATAAGGTGAGATCTAACAAAAATTTCTAATTGATATGTAAATTTTTTATATAATTAAGTTCTTGGAACAAATAGATAATATTCAACAAATATAGGTATTTCAAAATTAGACCAAGTATGGACATGAGGCAAAATTAGACCAAGTATGGACATGAGGACAGATTAAGACCTTGGAACATAAACCCTCCATTAAAGTTGCTTGTGACACAAAGAAATGTTGAGTTCACTGTGTTAATGATTTCTACTAAAAACAAAATTCACCACTGGATCTACCAGCACATGCAAGTTTATTAGCATAATCATGGCAAGTTCTATGCTTATATGAAGTTGTCAAGAAACTAAAACTCTAATTCCAAAATTGAAGTGATTAAATCCTTATCTTTCATATGTGGCAGAATTCATAAGTTTGCATTTAGATGTGAAACTTTTAAGAATAGATCTAAATGTTACTAGAAAAGACCCTTAATAATTATGTTTTGGTAGTCCTCCTTTGTCCTTTTGGTATCTGTGGGTAAAGATCACTTTAAGAGTTCTATAATTTATCATTAAAAACATAATCAGTATCTCTGGAAACAACAGGTTAGCTAGGTATGTGACTGACCACTTAGACAAGCAAAATAAAGTTTTTTCTTTTCCCCATAATTACCTAACAAAGCTTATTCTTCAAAGCCAAGACTTTCCATCTTAATACAGATGCTTTTCAACTTATTGAAAATCTTAATTAAGAAACTGCTCTCTCTGAAATTTACTAAATGCCCCATACATCTCATGTGTTGCTTTAACACTATGTGGCTGAAGTTGACTACAACTCCCAAAATATACTGGTAAGAAGTGACCGACAAGAAATGAACTAAAGGGCGCCTGGGTGGCTCAGTTGGTTAAGCGACTGCCTTCAGCTCAGGTCATGGTCCCAGGGTCCTGGGATCGAGTCCCACATCGGGCTCCCTGCTCTGCAGGGAGCCTGCTTCTCCCTCTCCCACTCCCCCTGCTTGTGTTCCCTCTCTCACTGTGTCTCTCTCTGTCAAATAAATAAATAAAATCTTTAAAAAAAAAGAAATGAACTAAAAACCTCATGAAATATTTCATGCATTTTTCTTTAAAAGATAATTTTCAGTCAAGTTAAATCTCATCTGCTAATTTATCTCGCTAAAAACTAAAAACCCACACAAGATATTATTTTAAATATTGGTCATATTCTAAAAGCCAAATCTATAAATGGATTCACTAATAATTTGTTGGCACATTACCTTCATTTTTAACATTTCTAGTTGCTGGCTTATAATTAAGAGGCTCTGTTTTCAGAGAAAGGAAAGGATTTTTGGTAATATATTTACAAGACCATTCATTCTAATAAAATGAAAATGCTAGATAAAAGAACTCTGAAGTTAGACTATATGCAACAAAGTTTTGAAAGAGGGGAAGAGGTCAAATAAATGAAACCTAAGTACTGGATGGTGATGTGTTTGCCTATTTAAAACATTTCATTATGTCATACAATTAACACCTTATGCTCTCTTCATATAACAGAATATAATTATAAAACTGACTACACTGATTTGGATCTACGGTAATTCAAACTACATTCCTCAAGCCATGGAATAACTACATACAAATAAGCCCTAACAACAAGTTTTGAAAAAGCTCTTCAGGAACAATACGGGTAGCATGGATCATGCAAATATACATAAAGTGAATCCAAAATCTCATTTTGACGAGGTACTTCAACCTCCTACATCACTATTTTTCTCCAACCACTGCCGGTAAGAAGTCAAGCAGAATTTCACCTCCTAGCTCTAATACCACTCATTCTAAGGTGAAAGTAATAATAATAAAACTGTCAAAAACAGCTGGAAGGAGGAAGCTGAGCAATCTACTGAAGACGACAGGCCCTAAATAACTAAGTAGGTAAACAAAACAATGAACTGATTTATCAGTTTGGGGAGGTTATCCTAATCTAATATAGATGAAAATGATGGTTTGGTTAGGTAACCTCCCATCCTGCCTTCCCTGCACACAAGGAACTTAATAGCTATTTGTTAAATAGCATGTACAAGGATCTGGAAAATGTTCCTAACAGTTAAAAATGAATGTTTATCGAATAGACTTCTCATTTAATAAACCAATAAGCACTCACTCTAAGCATATGCTAGAAAAGCTAGGGGGAGAAGGGGTGGGAGCGGGGGAGGGGGGGCGGGAGGGTTGAACCAAAATAAATATGAAACATAGTCCCCACTCTTCAAGGGTCTCTCAATTCGTTAGACTACAAGAGTACGCAGGAGAAAGAGTCAAAGACCAATTAATTGCTAACCTGGGTGGTACGGACTTTAAGAGCAAGAGCTGTCCAGAGAAGTTTAAATATCTAAAGATTGGAATAATAATATTACTTTCAATAGCTATCACTTGAGCACTTACTATAAGCCAAGTGCTTTACAGGCATTATTTAGTCTTCACAACAATCCTTTGAGTAGAGTACTTATTAATCCCAATTTACTCAAGGGGAAACGGTCAAAGTGGTTAAGGAACTTACCCAAGGTCACTCAGCTAGTTAAGTGGCTAAGACCGCCGCTTACCCAGGAAATTACAATTCTAGAGCTCACACAGTTAAGACTTCGTAAAGCAGTGCGAGTGCGCGGGGGGGGGGAAGAGGCCATACAGGCTAGCAATATCACACGCGGAAGATCGGGCAACGCATTCCCCTGGTTTCGTTCGAAGTAACGAAGTTACAAAGATTCGTTATCTTTTGCACCAGCAACCTAAACTGACTGGGGGGGAGGAGGGGAGACAACAGCAAAAATGGCTAAGGAGAGTTAATCTCATACAATGTTGAGCTTTAGCTAATAAAGCGATTCAGAGAAAAATTAGAAATAAGTTATTTGTTTTTGAATCTGGGGTTTTACTCCTTAAACGATTTCTTTCTTTCCGAGAGAGCGCGAACTGAAATTTTGGGCCAGGAAACCGCGGGTATGGCAAATTACTGTTTTCTGTATTACCGGGGGGAAAAAAACAAGTTTTATGACTAAAGGAAACGCGTTATTCCAGGTACTCGAGAACCTTGGAGAGTTGCCAAAATTAGTTGCAGTCCCAGGACAAAATGGGGTTTAGGAAACATTTAATGACGAAAGTTGAATCAAACCCGAAATGGCTCTAAAGTGAAAAAACGGAGCAAAGAAATGCCGGTAGGTCTTCGGGGAAAGCGGCAATCCCAGCTACACTTCTCCCACGGCCAGTGGCGCCGCGCGAGGCCGGGACAATCCGAAAGGACCGCTCCCCGGGAGGAAGAGAGGTACCAAGCGGGGCTCTTCGCGACGCCCCGGGCACCGCGGCGGCGGCGGGCGGAGAGGAGAGGAGGGAGTCGGGACGGTTCGCCCTCCTCGGACTTCAGGCAAAGGAGGCGTCGGGCTCCAAACTGCAGAGTCGAACGGGCGCAGAGTGAAGAAATGGGACAGAGAGATGGGAAGTCCGAAACCCCCCGGCGCGGCCCCGTAAAAAGAAAGGAGCCAAGTGAGCTCAAGCGAAGAGGGGGACAAAAAGAGACGGAGCGGGAGCGCGGGGACCCGCAGGGGCGAAACGGGAGTTCTGCTAAGAGACTAAAGGAACACAGCCTACGGCGGGCAACGGAGATTTCAGAGAAGCCAGAGAAGGAAGGAGGTCGGCGACGGTTACCAGCACCTCTCCTCCCCGAGTTCGAAACTCCTAGCCAACCATCCACACCCGCCGCCCGGATGGGGGAGGGGGCACATCTTCCCCCCACAACCTCTCCCCACATGGGAGAGCACGGCTGACGCCCGGGCCCGGCCCGGTCATGCGCCCGCCTCCAGCCCGGACACTCACAATTCGCCTCTCCCTGATTTCTCCCAGTTCTTTATCCACTCTACGGGAACCACCACAGTTGCGGCCGCCATCTTCCCCTCACTAGTAGCAGAGGCCCGGATGTGTAGCACGCGAGCGAGGGGTCAAAGGGGAGCACCGCCCACGGGGAATGCCGGGAGCTGCGAGTTCGGTTTTCGATTTCCCGCCCCACTTTCCTCCCCACCCGCGGAAACCCGAGGCCTTGCCTTTAACTAGGTGGCTGAGACCCATGGGTTCCTTTGCAGAGTGACTGCGCCGACCGCGCCCTCTACAACCCTTGCCCTAGCTTCCCTTTAGAACAGGAAAAATGCCATCCCCAGGCCGATTCATAGCTCTTATCTTCTTCCGTAGTATCTACTCCAGGCCACTAATTCAAACATGTATTTTTCAAGCCCCTAGTATGTGCTAGACAGGGGACAGAGACGCAATAAGCCATTGTGCCTACCCTCAACGAGCTCACAGTCTGTGGGAAAGACAAACATAAGCAGATCAATTACAATACACCCTACTAACTGCTGAGATAAAAGAAATGAATCAGGAAAGAAGCAGCCACTTACTATGTGCTAGACATGCTAATATAAGGGATACAAGCAGAAATTGACCCTTGGAAACACTTGCCACCACCAGTGCTGACACCCTACTGTAATCAGCCTCTGCCTCTGTAACCTTAGACAAAACTAGGAGGCGCAATTACCATAAGAAACAACTTGTTTACATTACAGAGTCTCAAAGTATCTCCCGACCAAGATACTATGATTTCAAAGGCGAAATAAAAACTACAGTGGGAAAACATGGCAGATACCGTCCTAATTGTGATGAAAATCAGCACGCCCAGAAATGGGCATTCTGTGCCTCCTGATAAGGTGCTAAGAAAAACACTAACCAATTTTGTAGCATTCATGACGCCAAAATTCGCATAACCTGAATTTAATCATAAGGGAACATCAAACAAACCCATAGAGGGACAGTCTACAAAATTACTGGCTTGCACTCTTCAAAATCATCAAAGTCACTAATCCTCCAGATTAATAGAAACAGACATGACAACTGATCCCCAGCCAGAAAAAGAACATTTTTCTTTTGCTAAAGGGGGTATTACTGGGACAACTGACAAAATCTGAATATCTATAGATTAATAATACTGTATCAATGTAAATTTCTTGATTTTTATACTTGTAGTATGATTAATGTGAAAGTCTTTGTTTAATACTCGCTGGAGTATTCAGAGATAATGGGGCATTATGTTGCAACTTTAAAATATCTCAGAAGAAAACCCTTGGATGATTAAGCAAATGTAAAATATTAACATTTTAGGAGTCTAAGTGAAGGACATGCAAGGATTCTCTGTTCTATTTGTGCAACTTTTCAAAACAAAAAAAGTTTTAAAAATAAGTGTTTGGCAGAAATTTTAGAAAATAGAGGTAAACCAAAGAAAGAAATCCTACCACACATATATTAAGGTATGAACTTTAGAACTAGTATCTTCTAAATTTGGCAATTTTCACCAAATGCACCAGGTTCATTTGCATTGAAAAGCTGTTGGAGGGATAGGCTGTATTCATAATAAGCCCTGGGGAAATACCACATTGTTCATGATTGTTTTTCATCAGCTATATCTAGTCTCCTAATGTCCTGTCTGATTTTGAAATCCTAAAGCCACTAATTAGAAAATACACACCGTTTAGTTTTAGTGACATCTGCTCATAAAAACCCTTTGTCATTTCAAGGAGGTTCAGAGAAATGAGTGCCTGCTGATCTTTTCATTTTTCATTATTATGGATTTTTCAAGTGTCAACAAAAAGGTATAGTGAATCCTTGCTGTACCATCATCCTGCCTTAAAGAAATGTGAAATCATTATTACAGGATGGCTTCTGTGATACAAGAAACACTATCCTGCTGCTTATCTATACTTCACTGTATAACCCATAGCAGTGGGCACGATCCACATTTGAGTCCAGATAATTCTTTGCAGAGGACAGGGAGGATCCTGTGTATTGTAGAACCCCCCCCCCACACACACACACACACACCAGTTGTTACAACAGTTTCCCCAGACGTTACAAAATGTCTCCTACAGTGCAAAATAACCCCCTGTTGAGAGCCACTGACAATATTCTGCTGTATTGTGGTTTACCTTGCCACTTTGTATCAGAGTGATTTCTCCTTCCAAACACTGAACTGTGAGCAGTATGCATACTACTCAGTATGCTACAAATGTGGTATGACCTGACTGCAGTGATGCCCTTCGAAGCTTTGATTTTCCCTTCTTCCAGAGCCTGCAGAACTATTTTTACATGTTATGATGACTCCTTTAGGAATTCCTCAGAGCTAATTGGCTTTTTGCTCTATAAGATTGCAAAGCTATCACATCTTTTGCATCTTTGCTGTTGGCTTGCCTGTTCTTTGCTATCAGAGTCTGGTATTATCTCAGCAGCTAAGAGTACTGTTCCCTGGTGATCTCACTGGCTCCAGAGTACCAATGGACTAGGCAGGGACAGAGGTCTGTGGTGAAGGCTAGGGATTGGGTAGTTTCAATGTTGACAGTCTGATGCATGGAGTGATAGTTTAATTTTAGGTCACTGTAAGGTCAAGCAAAACAAGACAAAATAAATAAAATAATCGAAGAATGAATGCAAAAACTGTACTCTTTGTGGAATTGTGCCCTAGAATGCTGAGTATTGGTAATGGATTTCTATTAACTAAAGACTTAATTATGTTGAATATACGTATTAAAATTTCTAGGATAACCACTAACATAAAAGCATATTATATCTCTTCCAAACTACCAAAAGGGGGAAAATTAAAAGAGAGAAAGAGGAAAAAATCAACCACCAATCCAAAAAAGGCAAGAAAGGAGGAAAAACTTTTTGGAAAAGTGGGACAAAGAGAATAGAGGAAGATGGTAGATTTAAACTTAAATATATCAATAATTGCATAAAATGTAAATGAACCAAATGCTCCAGTTAAAAGTAAAGATTATCAGTCTGGATTTAAAGAAGTCTAGGGGCGCCTGGGTGGCTCAGTCGTTGAGCGTGTGCCTTCGGCTCAGGTCATGATCCCGGGGTCCTGGGATCCAGCCCCGCATCGGGCTCCCTGCTCTGCGGGAAGCCTGCTTCTCCCTCTCCCACTCCCCCTGCTTGTGTTCCTTCTCTCGCTGTGTCTCTCTCTGTCAAATAAATAAATAAAATCTTTAAAAAAAATAAAATAAAATAAAGAAGTCTAGCTATCTTTAAGAGATACCCCCAAAACACACATACACAGTAAGTCTGAAAGTAAAAATGATGGAAAAAATACATAGGCAAATAGTATGATCAACAAAATATAAGCTGTTATAGCTAGATTAATATCACACAAAACAGATTTCAAGGGAAAAATAATTACTAGATTTAAAGAAGGTTACAAAAGGTGTCTGACTGGCTCATTTGGTAGAGCATGGAACTCTTGGTCTTGGGGTTGTAGGTTCAAGCCCATGCTGGGTGTAGACATTACTTAAAAATAAAATCTTTTAAAAATAATTTTTTAGGGGCGCCTGGGTGGCTCAGTTGGTTAAGCGACTGCCTTCGGCTCAGGTCATGATCCCGGAGTCCCGGGATCGAGTCCCGCATCGGGCTCCCTGCTCTGCAGGGAGCCTGCTTCTCCCTCTGACCCTCCTCCCTCTCATGCTCTCTGTCTCTCATTCTCTCTCTCACAAATAAATAAAATCTAAAAAAAAAAAAACTAAACTAAAAATATTTTTTTAAAAATAAAGAAGGTTACAATATACTGATAAAAATTTCAATTCAACAGAAAAATGTAATAATACTAACTTTGAATGTATTCAACTGCTTTGACTATGTGAAACAAAAATTAACAGAGATATAAGGAGAAATAGACAAATCCACCACCACAGTGAGTTTTTAGTTCATCTCTCTCATAAATTCATAGATGAAGCAGACAAAAAATCAGTAAAGATGTAGAAAATTTGAACATCAAATGAACAAGCTTGTTCTAGTAGATATACAAGAACACTGTACCTAGCAACTGGAAAATAAACATTCTTTGCAAGAACACATGAAAGAGTCACCACGTACAGATTGTTCACTGATCAAAAGCACCTAGCCAAGGGGACAAGTGGGGGTCAAAATTCATCCCATGCTCCACTTGCCAAACCACATGCTCGGGTGTGGTGTTACATCCATCTGGAAGAAAGAGCACATTTTCCTAATTCATACAAAAGCAATATGTCATCTAGTAGTGGTCCAACACATGAAACATTCATGAAAGTTAATCATATGCTAGGTTAAAAAAAAAAAAAGTCAACAAATTTCAAAGACTCAGTCTCAAACAGTTCACATTTTCTGACCCCACTGCAATTAAAGTGGAAATCAGTAACAAGAAGATAAAGAAAACATCTATGTTTGGAAATTTTAAAACATACTTTGAAATCACATGTCAAGAGAAAAAGTCATACTAAAAATTAGAAAATACTTAGAACAGAACAATAATGAAAATATTACATGTCAAAACTAATAGGGGCACATGGCTGTGTCAGTCGGTAGAGGAAGTGACTCTTAATCTTGGGGTTGTGAGGGCACCTGGGTGGCTCAGATGGTTAAGCATCTGCCTTCAGCTCAGGTCATGATCCCAGAGTCCTGGGATCGAGTCCCACATCAGGCTCCCTGCTCCTTGGGAGCCTGCTTCTCCCTCTGCCTCTCTCTCTCTCTCTCTCTCTGTCTGTCATGAATAAATAAATAAAATCTTTAAAAAAAAAAAAATCTTGGGGTTGTGAGCTCAAGCCCCACCTTAGGCATAGAGCCTACTTAAGAAAAAAGAAAACTAATTTAAAAATTATGGGTTGCAGCCCAAGTGGTATTTAGAAAGAAATTTATATTGTGAAACCTTTGTATGATTAAAGAAGTAAGGCTGGGGCTCCTGGGTGGCTCAGTCGGTTAAGCATCGGCCCTCGGCTCAGGTCATGAACCCAGAGTCCTGGGATTGAGCCCCGCATCAGGCTCTCCCTGCTCAGTGGGGAGCCTGCATCTCCCTCTCCCTCTCCCTCTGCCTGCGTTCCCCTTGCTTATGCTCACACTCTCTCTCTCTGTCAAATAAATAAATAAAATATTTAAAAAAATAAA